AGGCACGAAGTTACCCGACCTAGTACCGTAACGAGAGCTGTGCATTCATCTCAGTCAGTTGAGCACAACAGACAACATTCAACGTGGCCACCCTTCCACGATACTGGGGGCGGTGGGGTAGCCTAATGGTTAAATCGTTGGCTTGTCACGCCGAAGACCCGGGTTCGAATCCCCACATGGGTACAATGTGTGAAGCCCATTTCTGGTGTCCCCCGCCGTGATGTTGCTGGAATATTGCTAAAAGCGGCTTAAAACCAAACTCAGTCAGTACTGAGAGCCGTACCGGTGAAAACGGAGAAGTACAACGACGGCAGAACCGAGTCGTTTTCACCGCGGCAGTACAAGAGGTTAACTCGGGGCACCATCCCTGAGTTGGTAATATAGGTTTTAGATATAAAGCATAATCCTGTGAATATAGGATACCTCAGCATAACGCTGCACATAAAATGACTAGCGCACAAGGTCCCGGAATGAAGTTGAAAAAATGCGTCAATGTGGGGATCTTCGACCTCGGGGACACACGCGGATTCGACGACCCCAGAGTAGATGGTAAACTATATGCCTTGCAGCTTAAAAACAGCATTTACAAACGCGTTGAAGTCCCCTCCATCGGTAGAACCCTAGGTGATATAGTAGATACCTCAGGAGCGGCCCTCAACACTCGGTTCGACCTAGTCCTCATCGGTGATGATAGATGGTCGGTATACCCATCTTTCGAAGGCAAACTGTTTGACTTAGAAGATGTTGAGAGCACGGCCGTTGTTAGAAGCAAGCATTTTACCCTCGTTTTCACCGACGCTGACAAGTGGGTGTTGTTGCCCACTCAAGTCGACTGGTTTCTCAACATTAGTCTCGGCTCCCCCTTCGTGTTCACGGAGAACAAAGACAACTACCTAAACAAAGTCGTGAACAACTGAACCCTGCTCGTGGCTTACGTCCCGGCGCAGAGGAGTAGTGTAATCATCAGCCCACTCTCGAGGTATGGCAGCCCACATGCTATCGAGTAAACCGAGGGTGCAAGACGTGGCATTGCAGATGGTGTCTGAATTCGGCGGTGTGGTTAGAATCCTGGAAGGTCTACCAGCAAATTCCACGCTGGCCATCCAAGTCTACCTAGGGGAACCATCGCCGGACGAAGTCGAAGTCGTGAAGGGAATCAAACTCGGGTGGGTGAAACGGCACCAGTATCAGGTTTGCACTGTTTACGTGCGGCTGGGTGTAGACTCTCACACCAGTCTGCAGGGGGTCACCGTGACCGTGGAAGACACGATATCACTCACCAAGATCTTCCTACCCGACAACATACACCTCATGGGGTTGAAGTGCACCCCTGAGAGGTTATCAGAAAAACAGTTGGAAACTGTCTCGTAATAGTAATATAGCAATGACCAGTCATCGACCCAATGCCACGCTTAACGATCTAGGAGACACGGAGGGATTCGATCTGCCTGGCGAGGAAGACGCCTTTGTACGTCCCTACACTTGAAAGACAATGTGTATAGGCGAGGCGGCAATGGCGATCATCGACCCAACATCACACTCGGGGACCTAGGAGGCATAGAGGAATTCCATCAGCCGGCGTGAAGCGGCACCTAAATGCGCCCTGCGATTAAGAGGCGCGTGTACGTGCGGGTGCCTCTGGCAGACGACTTTAGAGAGCCCAAATGGTTGATCAACATGACCCTCACCACACCTTACGTCTCTTTTCCCAAGGGTGGTCCTATCACTAGTCATATCACCGAAATTAAGAACAATGGTATCTTGCTCGGGGGTTTCATCCCCCCAAACTTTCAGAGTATAAGAGTTTCCCAAACACCAAATCGCCCGGGCTACATGTTAAATACAACCGAGGATGCACGTTTAACATTTACATTATACGCTGGCCTACTACATTCTATGGTTATGCCCCCAGGCTCCACATTCATCATAGAATTCTTTTTCAGAGACGACATTGATGAGGCTAGGGGCTGGGGTCCCCCCTGGCGCCTTTTACCTGGGGTGGAAATAAAATGGCCACATTCATATCCATTTAGGGACCGCCATTGTCGTATCATCATACGACGGAGCTTGGACCCCTCACTGGGGTTGCTGCCCCCCTTAATAAGCAACCATATAGTTAGTATAGAACAAGAGTTACCTATTAACCTTTCCACTATTCATCTACGAAGCGAAGGCCTTATAAGGCCTTATCAAATACGATGATTGACTATTACATGAAGCCCAATTAAAAATATCTTGTAGTATATTATCGCTGGGATGGGCCTGTACCCAGTCGTAGAGAAGTCGCGAAGACACTGGAAACCGTGAAGCGGGTTTCGGGTTGAAACAGTTATGTGACGTAAAGCGCCAACTAAAACAAGACCGCGACACACGGGCAGCATTGTACAAGAAGTACCATAGAGCTTTCAATGTTGTGGATGGGGTTGATACCACCCTTATGGCTATCAGTATGGGGTTAGGGGCAGTAGGTGTGGGGTTGTTGACCACCATCGTAGCCGCACCCGTAGTGCTAGGCATCGAAATAACAGCTGGGGTGTCAGGGTTGGCTGGATTGATGTTTAAGTTTGCGTCATGCAGACTGCATCGTAAGGCATTGAAACACGATGAGATCAGGATCCTAGCCGATGCAAAGTTAAACACCATAGACGACCATATTTCCACCGCACTCACTGACCATAAAATCTCAGAGGGAGAGTTTCGTTTGGTCCTCTCTGAACTCGCAAAATATCATGAAATGAAACGAAATTCGAAACAAGTCTCGTAAAAGCACTGTCATCAGTGAAGACGAGAAAAAAAAGTACATAGAACAGGGGATACAACAAGCCCAGCAAGCCTTCATTACGAAAATCAAAGAAATCATAGGAGATTCACGTTAAACTGTTTTGCTGAGATCAACATCATGTAGGGTAGCCACGGGCCGCCGTCAGAGAGGAATCACGGCACAATGTTACCCCCCAAGCAAAATATTTAACACTTACCTTGTCGAGTGATCCTAATAGTATCCTGTAGCCAACTGTTTCCTCGAGGTCAACACGACATAGAGCTATCATGTCACGTGATCAGGAAAGTGTTGGTTCACGGTCATAGTGACCAGGAAGTTAACTCGGGGTTCAAACCTGGTATATACAATAGCGGAGAGAGAGGGGCCTGACAAAGCTTTATTTCATAAATGAAGCTTTACAGAGTCTTTTGTTGGACTTGATCTCGCACTGCCCCCAGTGTATATACTACTAATGTGTTAAAGTCCATTTCTGGTGTCCCCATGCGTGATATTGCTGGAATATTGCTAAGCGGTGTAAAACCAAACTCACTCACTCACTTTCTAAAACAAGAATGAAAAAGGTCTAATTTCAAATAATTTTTGCTTGCAGAATCATCAAGGTGTGTTTCAGTTGAACACAATATGTCGTTTTCAGAATTTTGATTAGACATGCGAGGCAGTTTGTATCGTAGACTTCTAGTATGAAAGTGAAATATGGCTAGTTCTTTTATGGAAGCGGGTTCACTGAAATTGGACCAGGAATTTGTTCCACGTTTACCTTCAATAGCTGAGTTGTTACAATGCAAACCTAGCTATGCTCTGCACGCAAATGATCAGTCATTTCCTTATGGGTTAGACCAACTCCGTGGTGTAGTGGTTAGAGCGTCCGCCCGCAGAGCGGAAGGTCGCGGGTTCGATCCCCGACCGCGTCATACCAACAGACGTTAAGATATGGTACTTGTTGGTCCCTGCCTGGCACTGGGCATTAATGGGTACAGCAAGGACTGGTCGGCTCGGAGTCAGTATAATGTGTCTGAGTGGGGTATTCATGCTTCACTGCGGCATGGTATCTCAGTGGGCTAGCACTATAAAACCAGCCTAAGTCTGGGCTAGTACAAGCAGGCGCACATACACATACACACGCATGCATGTCGTCATATGAGCAAAATATTCTCAAGCACGACGTAAAACCGACTTTCACCTCACCTCACCTCACCTTGTGGGTTAGCCTATTGGTTATAGCGTTTGCTCATTCTGGGTTTCGATTCCCCACATGGGTACAATGTGTGAAGCCCATTTCTGGTGTCCCCGCCATGATATTGCTGGAATATTGCTAAAAGTGGGGTAAAACTACAGGGCTACAACGTGCTGGTCACACTGAACACTTCATGAGTCTTGTAGTACTTGGTACTTTTGTTGTATAGTTACATATTGTACAGGCTGTAAGCCCCTTGTCATCAACATGCTCGACCTTTTTAATAGCATTTATTCTGTTTCGCTTCCAATGCTAATGAAGCTGAGATCAAGGCGTGCAACTTCAATCATTTTAGTTGTTATGAAGCCACTGACGCATGAGATTATGAATGCTAACTCCAATAACTGCAACAAAAAAACACAATCACTGGAAGTGTGTACAGAGCACGTACAGTCACACGATCACGATCACTTCATCAAACATTTTTGATAAATTCTCTAAAAATAGTACAGTAAATAACCAGGAAATTGGCCCAAATGAGCACTAAACTGTTACAAACATGATATCATCTTATATTGTCCGTAATCCCCGATCACTATCACTGGCGCGCTCACTGTACTGAATCACTATCACTGGATGCCTGCAGTACAGGGTCCAGGGGTTGAATTTGTCAACCCCAGATTGAAATATTTTTCAACAGCAGTTACTCTGCTATTTTTTTCGTTAGTTGTCGTTGATGAGGTGAATCGTTAAATTCATGATTTCCAATTCGTGATTGAAAAAGTATTTTGGACATAGATAATGACAATAACTAGATCTTGGTATGTCTTACATATGAATGCTCATTAAACTTGGGATAAAATTCTAACATCACAAAAACTGCATTTGTTATGAACAGTGCTCCTCCACTGATGATGCGTTCACCACACTTGTAACTGTGATGGTAACAAATATAAAATGCTGGTACCTTCTTACAGCTTATCCTCTGCTGAATAAATTATACCTGGAAAGAACATGGTATTAATTTGGAACATCTTCTTACAGCATGCTGTGTACTCACCTGAAAGGCTGATGAAGAACATTCTGGCTCATATTCACTACATGCCGAGTCATTGGAATGGCAATGCGCACACATACAAGGTGCGCGATGAGTTTGCTCTGCTCTTCCAGTATAAAGCTGTGAGTATATAATTTGTTTTCTGACATCTGTTGAGTTTTATGTCCAGAACACAGTCTGTAGTATGGTTTATTATATATACCCATGTAAACTTAGGATAGTAATACAGGGGTGCAATACGGAATTTGACGACGTCATCCATATTGAACCCCTGCCATTACGCTATGATTTGTTTTATTAAGTAACTCGAAGATGTCATGGGAGCAGAGAAACAACTCGTTCTTCGAACTCGTTGTTTCTCTGCTCCCATGACATGTTCTCGTTCAATACAAAACATCCAAATGCACTAGTAGGACGTTGTATATATGTATCAAATGTCCTGTAATGGCATCAGTAATCTCCAGCTGAAACATGCAGACAAGAAATTTCAAAGCTGATGTATGGGATTAGTCGTGTGTTCTACTGCGACTGTGTGTTAAGCATTCATTCACTCAAGAAGGCATGGTTTGGATAAGTCGCCAAATGGCGATTTGAGGGAGTCTGAACCACTGATCTTGCAGCACATAGAAAAGTTCAGCTGAAGTGGTCAGTGGTAGTGCTGGTTATCGCTCACAATGTACAGATTGATAACCGAAGCTCAGCAATCGATCAATAATTGATTGTAATCTAGGCGATTGAGGATATTTACTGTTGAGGTCACACGCAAGTTAACAACATAACAATAAGAAACCTACCTTCTAAAGTTTGATTTGATGTTTGATTTTCATCCCCCCAGCATGTAATAGTCGACACCGCATCCGGCCGTCTGTAATCATTTTGTTTCCGGAGCATAACTCAAAAACCGTTCAATATTTTTCAACAAAACTTGCTAGATATATCAAACAGAATTAAAGGTGGTGCCTTTTGCTATTTACAGATTTTTGTCATTTTATTTTCTTCGGTTTGGACTTAGTCTCAAAGGGAGGGTGGGTTTCGTTTCCACAGCACAACTCAAAACCATTCAATATATTTCAACAAAACTTGGCAGATACATGAGACAGATCCCAAAGTGGTGCCTTTTGCTATTTGCAGATTTTGGCATTTTATTTTTCCCGGTTTCCATGGAAACGTTTCGGACTTAGCTGGGCTTCAAAAGGGAGGGGTGGACTTTGTTTCCAGAGCACAATTCAAAAACAGTTCAATATTTTTCTGCAAAATTGGTAGTTATATGAAACAGAACTTAAAGTGTTGCCTCTCTGCTATTTACAGATTTTGTGATTTACTATTTTCTCGGTTTCCATTGAAACGATTCAGGCTTAGCCTCAAAAGGGAAGGGTTGGTTTTGTTTCGAGCACATATTCAAAACTGTTCAATATCTTTCAACAGAACTTGGCAGATATATGAGACAGATTTTGAAGTGGTGCCTTTTGCTAATTACAGATTTTGGCATTTATGTTTTTCCCCGGTTTCCATGGAAACGATTTCGACTCTTAGTCTAAATAAAAAAAGAATCAAGCTGGACTTAAAGTAACTGTCAGATGATTTGTTCTTTCAAATATGTGGGGTTGGGAGGATATGTCATCTTCTGATGACTCTTGTTAATGTAGGTGTAGACCCGATTTGATTTATTAAAACTGCCCTCTATGCGCTTTTCCTAGTCTGTTTAATTGTAATGATACTGGTCTATGTAAACATTTAGATCAAGTCTACTAGAGGATATTTCTTATGCACTTCTGAAAGATCAAAGCATGTTCCAAATCAGTCAGCACCAGGCTACTTTGATTCAAGGTCATAGTGTATGTGTTCTATTTTACAGATATACCTTGTGGAAGAGCTCCTGAGCCCCATCATTACACCATTCATTCTTTGCTTTTGTCTGAGGAAAAAATCACTAGAAATTGTTGATTTTTTTCGGAACTTCACAGTGGAGGTTGTTGGGGTTGGTGATGTCTGCTCCTTTGCTCAGATGGACATTAGGAAACATGGAAACCCACAGGTGAGAATGCATGGAATTTGTATGTGTAACCACCTCAGTGACACATTAGCACCTAAGTATCTCGAAAAGTGTTTCCTTCCAGGATAATCACTGGCCTGTCATTTCTTATCTGTACATCAGTTATAAGTGAATATAATTTTAAATCTTTGTTGCATCCAGGTTTCACATTGTATTTTGAATAAATGAAACAGGAAATTGCAATGCAAAGTGCTGCTGTCTGAGATTTAAAACATCTATGTTAAGTCATCTATGTTAAAAACTCCTTTGGGCCAGTGTATCAGTCTACTAATTCAGAGATGCCAACCTCTATGATTTTATCGTAGTCGCTACAAATTTTATCCTCAAACTATGCCAATACGATTGCACTAGAATTTCTACGAAATTTGAAGAAAATTCATTAAAAATCAGATATATAGACAAAAACATATATTTTCGCTGATTAAATACATTTTCACCAAAAGAGACAAGGAGAAATGCAGTGCTGATTATTTTGAACTCTGCTGTTGGAGGTATGTGAAATGAAATCTTCACTCTTGATTAGTCTCATATTACCTTTCTCAGAATCCATCATGATTTTAAGTATTTAGTTGACTACTAATTTTATGGTCAAACTACTAATTTTGATCCTCGAAACTACTATTTGCAACACTTTGGGGGTGGCATCTGTGCTAATTGTTGGGTGCTGTAAAGTCAGGGGTGGCCCAATTATCTAAGGTGCCATATTTTTCTCCAGAACCTTTGGATCAATAAAATCACATGATTGTTTCCCCCAAATTTGGATAAAACAGCATGTGAGTATTACAACCTCTGTCGGTTCGCAATAAAAGCTCCACATGTTGGCCTCGATCATCTCTCTATATACTGGCATTGTTTTCAGTTGAGATTATTGCCAGTCTGAGAGGATTACAGAAACAATATATGTTGTCAACCATCTTAACATAGATGCATTTGTAATATGTAAGAGATGGGAATTGAATTTCTTTTCATTAAATTATGTCCTGAAAATAATAGTCAGGACAATGTATAATATTTAAAACTTATCCTTTCTCACGTCTTGTACTCTCTCTCTCTCTCTCTCATGTTCGACACCTGAATGGAAATGAACTGTAAACAAAGTTTCCAGCCTCTCTTGTACCATTCACCCAAACACTGCCCACAGCTCCCATTACTGGACATCCTTTAAGCCTCTGAAGCATGCAGCATGCTCTCCGGTTGATCATGTGACTCCTTTGTCTCATCATTCTCTTTCTTATCGACAGCAGTGCAGATGTGCTGTAACTGAAGTTATAATTTCACTCAATCCTATAACACCATGAGCAAGCAAGATTCTTCATTTAGAAAATGGAAATTTTGCTATCAATGCAAGGTCTCATCAGACTTTTATTTGAACAAATATTTGAGAAGCTTGTTCTGTCCTGATGTAGAACCACCCAAGTCTACAGTCGTATCCAGAGTGGTGGTGGTGGTGGTTAATCAGTCTCAGGATGAACAATATCCCACACCAACCCGTCAGATACAGAGGGCATGGACGGAGCTGCCTCCCGTGTATCAACCGTCCAATCTATGATCCAGTCTTCAGCAGTGTCAGCAGATCAGCCTTCTTTGGACGGTTACAAGAAGGCTTACTTACTTCACCTATATCCATGTCCTACTTAATGGCGGGCCAGTCAGGTTCAGTGAATCGCGCACCAGTTGGGGGCGGTTTGGCAGTTCGTTCCAGATCAGCGATTCAATTCAGTTCCACGTATCAGCCTTGGGATTCAACTTATCCCTACAGTAGTGGGATACCGGAGCCTCAGACCACTAATTCATCACAATAAGTTTTACCGGTTTCTTGGGATCACACGCGAGACACTCAACCGCAACTTTGACATGATGGTATGTGCACTTTCCACTGTGTGGAGACAAATACAACAGCCCGAACAATGTCGACTGGAACAGCATGTTGGGGAGACCTCACCCCCGAACTTTCAGATTGGACCCACTACAATTTCATGATCCTCATCTCCATCTCCTTCATACTCGGAAGATTTGTCCACCCCAGAGGGGGCTATTGACTAAGTGGACCCTACAATGATGTTAGCTTGGATTGTGGACAATCTTAAATTATTGAAGAGTAGATCATCAGAGGATATGTTGACCACTTTTCACATGAAGGATCAGGACTTGTATCCATTAGTGTACCACCTCATCCGTGTATCACTCAGATGGCGGCTTAATTAGATGAGGCCTTTAAGAAGTTAAAGCGGGTTTGGTGATAAGATTTTCTGTCCAAGTTCTCGTTGTCAGAAGCTCAAGTACTTGGGTTCGCAATCTGATCAAGCTTTCACCTACTGTTGATGAGGACATATTTTCACTTTGTCCTAAGTGGAATGATTCACCTTTCCTCATCGTGGACTGAGAACCTATGCACTTGGATACTGGAATACGTCCGGACCCTTCCTTCCATCAACTGTATCAACCACATACTGTGACTCAGGAGCAGGTGCACATCATACATGATCCGCTCCAGGTAGTACTCAACCAGATCACACACTTCCGAGGATACATGCTAGCAATCAGACTACGCAGGATCCACGCCGTGTGATGAACGCTACAGAGTTTAACTTTTTTGCCAGCTTTGGTTCATCATCTGTTCGTAAGCCACATCACTCTGAGGTTGGGGAGCTCACTTCACGATCTTCAGGTGGCAGGGATGTGGTAATCAGACAAGCAGTCCCATCACATAAAATAATCTGGAGTTCAAGTCAGTCATTCTAGCCATATCTCATTGGACCTTCAGTCGACCCAGTCTTCTCATATAGTCAAACAACTTGACGGTTGTATGGTACATCAATCGGGCGATTCAGTTCTTCCAGCTGATAGACTCCTGAACATCACAGCGAGAGCCAGACAGATACCATGGTGGAAGAACGCCATCGTAAGATGCCCTATCACGATCAGACTGACCATCCCTATCCACATATCTTCCAATCCATCTGTCTCCCAATCACCTACCCTCAGGTGGATCTATTTGTAATAAGGTTCAACAACTAGTTACCCAGGTTTGTCTCTCCAATCCCAGATGCTCTAGGATGGGACAAAGCAATGTCTTGGGAGAATCTGAACGCTTATGCATTTCCGCCACCGGCTCTACTACCTCGAGTATTACAGCAGCTATAGTCCACCAAGAAAATGACTCTGGTTATTTTTGTGCCTTACTGGTCGGCTTGAAGTTGGTTCGTAGACTTCTAAAAGTCACCGATCCAGAGTGGTTCTACCCGTCTGAGATGATGCACTGGTCCATCCACACACAGATTGACTTCAGGGGTCCCTGCAGACATTCCATATTCATGTATGACGATTTGCATGATTGCCAAGGTTTATTCCAAGAGATTGGCTGGGGCTATTACCTCAGCTCATTGTTCTTCAACACTTTCTCTATGATGATAAATGTAAGAATTTTTAGGGTTACTGCAGAGTGAAGGTATTCTGTCCCCTACTGCAGTTTCTGCCCAGCAGACTGTTGCCAAGTACCTACAACATTTGGGGAACATCTAAGCCAGTTTAATGGAACCACTTTAGCTCACTGATGCGCTGTGGCATCAAAATATCGCTCATACAAGCTAGCTCGATCCAGTCCAAGAAATTCTGAGCTTCTGCTTGTGATCTTTCCATCATGCTTCCAGCAACTCGCTCTCGAATGACTATGAACCTCTAGGTGAGAAGAGTTTTGAGCGCATTACTTTCAAGACCTTCTTCCTGGTAGTATTAGCTACTGTGGCTTGAATGTTGGAACTCCATGCTATGGATGTTAATCATGTTCAATTCGAGGGGAAGAAACGTGGGGAAGTTTTCCTGGGTCTTCCGTGGGACTTTATAGGGCAGGAGCATGTGGATAGGCTCTTCATTATCCCACCATTGGCCACTATTCTCAGGCCAGATCATATGGAGGATCTCTCATCTCTGCCCAGTTAGAGCCTTAAAGGCACAATGTCACACATTTTGACAATATTTTGGTATGTATTATATTTATTTGGGCACATGCATTTACATTAGCTTCTTTAAGGATCTACATTGTTGCTTCACAAGACAGTCAGAGGCTACATAAAGCGTCTCTTCATTCCGCTTTCAGCAGCTTCTTTGGCAGAAGCATTCTGGATGAGATTGACTATTCTTCAAGTTTTACCTTCAGCTGACTTACCTCCAGATACATCGACTGGCATGAAACTCGAGCACTAGCCTCTACGATGGTTTTACACGGCAACTATTTGTTAACTTTCACCATGGAGGGATGCTTTTGGAAGTTTGAGGACGGTCTTTGCCTCCCACTACTTATGTGATCTATCAGTGACTGATCCGAAGGACTACATCTATTTGGTCCCTTGGTACCTCTTGGCAGCAACTGTCCTTGGCTAAACAACCAAGATAAAGGCATCATCGGATATCATTTGTGATATCAGTGTTACCTTGTATTGTATATTACCGTAGAAAAGCCAATTTTGAGGATGAAAAAAAGCAGTCTGTAGGAGGAGGGCGGCTTATCTAACAAACAAGAGTAGACGATTTTGTCAGTAAAGAGGTCAAATTTGCAATTAAACAACACTAGATAACATAATTTACCTATTCAATGAAAATTTGTTTTTGCTTGGCATTGTCTTATATGCAAGGATTAAGATTACTGTGTGTAACTATTATATAAAAAAATATATTCTAGTATTGTGTCATTTTAATTGCAGGTTTTGCTCTATACATGTAAAATATTTATAATCATAACTAAGGTATATGACAGTTTTCTGGAATGGAACAGTTTTGTGCATGGAACAATTTGACCTGTCACCGATGTGGTTTTGCACGTTCTTGCTATTTCCACCTCGTAAACAGTTTGTTGACATGTGATCATCCAGCTTCACTAACTATGACCTTTGGCGAAACAAAATATGTGTGGCAGATCCATTTTATGTCAACTACACTTCATTTCGAGACGCGGAGTAGACTAGCGACTATGTTAGTGATTGCTGTGAATAATGCTTGCCTAAGTTACAAATATATTCTTTTTAACATTATCTCATTGTTGATACCAAAAGTGATCGTTATGATATTAAAAAATAAAACAAACACAGGTTCCTACCGAGGGGTCAGTAAAATCTTTATTAGATACTATTCTCACCAAACATACTCATAATATTACATCCTGTTGTCTTGTGGTCTGGAGTTGGCGATTAGGAACCAATTAGTGGGGGTCGCTCATGTACCAAACATACCGCTTGACACTGATTTTAAGGGTCAAGTTATTGGATCGGCTTATCTATGGGAGTCGACTTATCTATGGTATTATACAGTATATATGTTATAAAACATATATTTGTTGTATTTTAGTCTTGTTCTCTTTTTTGGACTTAGATCGACCTAACCTGGATTTATACTTGGGCATAATAGTATAGTTTGTTGAATTTGATTTCTAGTCACAGACTGAGAAGAAACAGCCTTTATATTAGAATGCAGAGGTGATCGTGCTCATGCTTACTGTCCTCTACTCTAACGAGCAATCACTTCAGTGAAATGTGAATACCGAACTTCAGTGATGTTGAGCGTTATGCTCGAAGTCCCGAAACATTATTGGCTAGCTTAGGCAAGGATGAGTGAGTGGAGTGAGTTGGGTTGTCATAGCTTTTAGCAATATTCAAGCAATATCGCGCGGGGACACCAGAAATGGGCTTCTACCACAATGTGCCCATGTGGGGAATCGAACCTGACCTTCGGCGTGACGAGCTTAACGCTTTTAACCACTAGGCTACCCACAGCCCTAGGCAAGGATGAAGCTAATGGTGTTACAAGCATTGGAGTTATGTAGTTAATTGTCAGACTACAATCATATCGGGCCTCCTTATACTCGCATCATCATTTGCCATGGTTATTATGCAACTACAGACACTGAGTAATCTATAGCGCCCTTGAATAAGTACAAGAGGTGAGATAGGATGAAGTTTTAAAAATTTGAAATTTTAACTACAAATTGTATATTTATAAATACTTTTCCTATCTCACACGATGGATGCCCGAATCCGACCGACCGCACTGCACTACACAGATTATGTGACTTAGTTCCAAGAAGAGAATGATCAGACAAAATGAGTCATCACATGATCAACCAGAGAGCATGCAGCATGCTTCAGAGGCTACAAAGCTTGTCCAGGAATGGGAGCAGTGGGGAGTGTTCAGGCAAATGGTACAAGAGAGGCTGGAAACTTGTTTACAGTTCCTTTCCACTCAGCTGTTGATCCACAGAAGAATTCCATAGAAAAACCTCAGATGAATTTTTTATTCTGAAGATAGCCTGTTCATACGTCTGCACTGAGTGGTTACAGAGGAAAGTATGAAGTAGCAATATAATTGGTGGTTTTCAGGGAGAGCTAGTCTAGGGACATAACTGCTACTCCACACAGGGAAACATCCAAAGGGAATTATCTCCCTAATTATCTTTATTTGTTTTCTAAGGATAGTTTGGAATGGTCAATGAAGTGGAGAGGGAAAGGCTAGCACAATCCAGAGGAATGTTCACATCAATAATTAAGTGGTTTACATTACTGTAGCACTTGGCAGTACACATTATGGCCGACCTGATTCACATATGACATCATGAGTGTAAAAGGTCATGTGTGTTCAAGGACTTGCTTGTGGAATATGCATAATGGCTGAAACTGAGATAGCAGATACTTTTTCTCTGATTAAAATATCAATAACAATACTTTTGGATAAAAAAATTGGGGGAATATGTTTCTGATGATTTTATCTTTAACCGAGTCAATTTTACAATATTTCCGTAGATTCTCCTTTAATTTCTAGCACTGGATTTGACTTACATTGTGTAAATATGACACAAAATGATGCAGTACATTTTGTATTAATACCTGTTTCAAACAAATCGTTGTGCATATTGTAGTAGTAGTATATACAATGATTGTCCCGAGACCAAGTCCAACAAAGCCGCATTATAGCTTTATTTCATAAATAAAGCTTTTGTCAGAAACCCTTAGATCTTGCCACCATTGTATATACTACTTTTGAATCCCCAGTTAACTTCCCGGTCACTATGACCGCGAATTAGCACTTTCCTGATCACGTGGCACTATGTCGTGTTGACCTCGAGGAAACAGTTTAATGTGAATCACTCGACAAGGTAAGTGTTAAATATTTTGCTTGGGTGGCAACATTGGTATAGTGCCGTATGGTATGACCAATAATTCCTCTCTGATGAAACCTCTCCCTGGCCAATCTTTCAAGTAGTACAAGTTTGGCTTGTCGGCTTTGATGTCCACTTTATCTATGTTGTAAGTTTTGACTGACCATATCAGATCGGTGGCTCGTTTCCGAGTGTCCCCTTTGTGTTCCCCCGGCTGGTAGAGGTACCTCACGAGGGCCCCATCATGTATCTGTTTCTCCTTCCCACGCGATGGTACAGCCGACTCAGCCACCACTGATTTCAGTTTGATAGCGTCGGCTGGTTTCTTGCCGGTGAGACGGGTGGTTTCGTGGTTGATGGCCGACACCACCTGAGGTAGCCGCGCTAACCATTCCGTTGATCGTTTCCCCGGGTTGACCATCTCT